ATTTATGACACTTGTATTATTTCTTTCTTTAATTATTTATGCATTGTAAAAATGAAAATGACATGCATAGTGAAATTCTTTTCTTGCTTTATGAAATTAATAAAATTATTTGTTATATGCTAAGCTTTAGCTCATCTCTGGTTGTGGGAATATTTTTCAGAAGAACCTGCTTAGCTTTGATGGCTGATAGACCTATCACTCACCGTCGTAGAGGATCCCAATGAAACAGGTTTTTTATGGTTATTTTGTTTCATGTGATGGATTATGTATTATGGTCTACTTGTAGTAGTTATGATTTATGTTATGATTTTGGTATTCCTGATGTAATAGAAATGTTCAAAATGAATGTTTTGTGGATCTTTCCTATTTTATATATGGATGAATATTTTTTTTATGTTAGTTATGAAATGAAAGTTTTAAGTGTTTATTGTACGATCGTCTATTCCCGCCTTGTTAATTTGAGCTTATCAAGTCGGGCCATGACAAACCTAAACCTAACCCGACCCAACCCGATTGACACGAATAGATTCGAACCCCACCTAACTGGTTGACCTGAGAATGATAAGCGAGCGCCAGAGGGTGAGCGGGCGAGCGCATCAAGCACAATGCACGGCACGATGGACGATAGATGCGACAAGATGATCGAATATTTAGTCATTTAGCCCCAAGAAAATGGGTCAATTTTGAGTTATTTTTTGGTTGACCAGAACCCTACCCGTTTTCCAAACTTGTTGACCTGTACCAAAAATTTTCTGATCAGGTTCAAACCAGATTTTCATGTCATATAGAATATTGACATCCCTAATGTACGATTTATTGTTTGGGTGGAGCACTAAAAGAATATTTTTTTGCCCATGCTCTATGGTTGTCAAAGAGCAAAAAGTTTGCTTTTACATTTTTATTTTAAGTTAACTTATATACTGTTATTTACCAATGATGCCTATTATTATCAGAAAGGTAATAATTCAAATAATTATTAAATATGATAATAACTAAAGTCCCGATTAATTAAATTAATCTTATTGAACATTTCCACTTTGAATATTTTCAAAATCTTGCTTTTGAGAATATAGTAGTTATTGCAATCGGGTGGCATTCGGAGAATAAAAGAGAAATTAATTAACTTTGTATATTACATAGAAATAGACAGGTGTTGTGAAAATACATACAATAAGACATAAATTTTCTTGTATAGCCATTCATCAATGATTCATCATTCATGCATTGGGAACATTTTGTCCTTGTTTTTATCTTTAATTATTATAAGGTTGGTAGTCGTCAGGCAATGAATGAGCTTGTGAGATGATAATGATTATTGAGAATAAAGGTTTCGTCTAAGAAGGTTTTCTTATTGCTTCTTAAAGTAGTTTTTTAGTATAAAAATTTAAATTTTTTAACTAAAAAATTATTTTAAGAAGCACTAAGAAAGTCATCTCAAACGAAGCCTAAGTCAATAGCCCTCATGCCATGTTATTTTAATACCAGAAGAGCTATCAATCAGCACATTTGACAATGGAGAAAGTTTCAAATGATGAAAAATCTTGTTCAATGATGCTTGAGCTGAGTCTTGTGGATTCATTAGACTATAATAGAATTGGTCTTTCACCCTTTTTTTAAAAAAAAAATAAAATAAAAAGAAGATGGTGACGACCGATGGTTAGCAGCTGTGACGGCCACGGCAAGTATCGGTGATGGAACCGAATTCAACCCGTTTATTAAACATGTTAACCTGAAATTGAATTTTTCAGGCTTGATTTGCATGTAAAGTCATTTATTGACACCCCTTCTAATCATAGGATCTAAAATAGTTTATCTTAAAATTTTTAATATTAAATGGCAAATCAATTATTTACTTTAATGTAAAAATCATATTTAAAATAAAATAAATTGGGACAAGATATTATCAAAATAAATTTATTTCTAACTAGTAAATGATCTGAATTGATCTTAATTAAAATATTTGAATTTATATTAAAATTAGTGTATCATTAATTATCATACTCATCTTAGAGTATAATGTAATATTTCAAAAGTTTGATCTATATATGATTTTTTATATTATAAAATTTAAGGGTCTATTGAATAATTATCTTGATGTAAGAGGAGATAAACGATAAATATTAGCAGTTTTTAAGGAGCAGGTCTTCGTATATTAAAATATTTAAATTTGATCTCAAAATTATAAATTTTTTATCAAAATATTAATTATTAAAATATCTAAAAGTTTTGAAATGTATTCTCATCAAAATTTTGATAGAAATATAATTTTTTTTATATTGTGAAACATTAATAATTATCTAGATTGTATAGGATGTTAGCGCTAAATGGCAGTTTTTAAGGCGCGCATCTCAAATAAAGCCAAAAAGCAACGCAGCTGGTACAGCTCGCCGGCGATTCGCGCATAAACTCTCTGACCGCCATTTGAGCGAACGTAACGTTCATTTCTGTTCTCGAATACTCCAACGACCTCCAGCCGTCTCTCTTCTTCTGTCCGTCTCCGACCACTTCCTGCATTCCTAAGCCGCTAAGCGAAACGTTGTCCGATCGACTTTAACCCTTCATCGCTCTCAGAGGTTCGTAAAACCATAATCTACTCTTTCGTGTTTTCTATATTATTGCCTGTGAGCTTGATCATCGCTACTTTAGGTTTTGAAAGCAGTTTTGATGTTCATGCAATTCCTTCTTTCGGAACTTGTAGAGTGAAATAGTGAATGTTTTGCTGTTTGATTTCATATCTTCAAGCATTGGTGCGGTTTGAATGGCTTTAGATTGGTATATGCCTTTGTTGCATCTTTTAGAAATGGTTGAATTTCTTATGGCTATGATGAGATTGTTTAAGTTTATGCTTTTCAGCAGAAGATTTTTTTGGGAATTTAGAAGGAAGTCACTTATAGGGAAGCAGTAAGTTGCCCTGTTTCTTTCTTGCAGCTATGCTCTTTTTTTCTCCGTAATCATTTTAGAGATTGTTCCAGCTATCCTTTGACGGAGCACAAAAGCTTGTTAAGCATGAGACTTTATATACGTCTTACGCAATAAATGCAAACAATTTAATCCAAAATCCATGCTTTGGGATCCTGAAAAGCTAGTGTCAAGGATTTACTGAATTGTGAGTAGAAAATTGAAATTATAAATTTGAAGTAATTTGCCTACAGCCACCATACTTGTCCACCAAATGTCATTACGAGCTTTAGCTATGGCATGCCTGGAAAAAAAATTAGATTCGTATATTGTTGTTATGCTAAAATTACCAATCATAGCCTTCCAACGTAGAGGATCATCCAAAGATAAAAATACATGCCAGCATACAAACAAACATAAATTGCTTACCCTAATGCATCCACTAGAATATAAGTTTAAAAAAACAGGCATGAATAGATAAAAATTATTTTTTGATATTTTATAATTAAATAAATAAAAAATTAAATGTTATTCACATTATAAAAAGATAACTAAAAAATATGTGTTGAAATGTGTATTGTTATGTTTTGAACATGAAAGCTTTATCTTGATTATTTAGTACCACATTACTTGGGCATTAAGTATTAGCATTGTTTTTATAGCTTTTTGAGTTCGCCTGAGTAAAAAAGTCACATGGGATGGTGGGGCCATAATAATAAAGCTTGATTGTTGCTTATTTGACAAATAATTATCATAAAAATGTAATGCTTATTTTAAAATTAAAATAGTTTAAATTTAAATTAATTCCTTATATAAGTTAAATCTTATTTTATTAAATTTATTAAAATTATATAAATACTTTAATAATAAATTGGGTCGGTTATAAAACTTGGCACTAGTTCACCAGTTAATCGGTTGGTTCGACGCGGTTCATGTCACGGTTCGATTGGTTTGACGTTGTTCATACTGATTTCTTGCGAAACTAGTTCTAAGAATTTATTGGACTAGCTGGCAAATCGGTTTACGGTTCAACTTGTTGAATCGTCCAGTCCGGTTCTATTTTTAAAATCTTAGAAATTATTGTAAAAATTTATTGGTCACATTATGATCAATTAAAACATGTTGAGAAATGAGATTGATTGATGGTTTATTAAGAAAAAAAAATCTCTCTCTTCAACATACTCCAACTTTTCACCAAATGGCAGCCTAAGTCCTACCTAATTGATTCTCCTCTTTTCTCCTCTGTAATGTAGTGAGATATATGAAGTGGTGTATTATTCGCCACAGGTCTTTTGCATATAGGTACTTCATTAACCTTCTTAATAGACTTAGTTGTGAATAGTTGTTATCATGGCATATGCTCTAATGTAGCATGGGCAATAGTTTTCCAGTTCCCTCCATTTACATCAGCGCCGCTCAATCGCCATAGCATGCCCATGTTGAATTTATTTCCTCTTTTCCATCAAATCTTACATAAAATTATAGGGAACCGTTAAAACTACTATACTACATAACGCCAAAATATTGTCTACATAAATATGACCAATACCATCAGCATCAACAGATAAACTGATTCACTAATAGCAGAACCTGGATTTTCCCAACTTTTGGATTTGGTTTTATTTACTCCTTTTTAAGACTCACATTTGGCTAGTTTCCTTTTTCCTTCCTAGCCATTTTGCATTTAGTCTGTTACACTAGTATCGATCGTAATGATAAGTAACACTGTACATACCAAAAGCACTTCATTCATTAATGCTATTATCTTATCTACCTCAAAAGCTACCCCAATTCTTTTGTCAATTTAGTCGTTATACCTTTATCCCTTGTAAAGAAATATTTAAACCCAGCACTTTAAGTTTAATATTGTGGAACTGTTTATCACTTTCCTTTTTTTTTTTGGGTGGTAGAAATGCAGAAAAATCAACCTACCCAAATGTCTTGCATTGCAGCACACGAAATTTGGAACTTAAGAGGTTCTTTTGCTCCAGAAAACATTGCTCACAACCTTAATTAATGAGGTTAAAATCCAAAAAAAAAAAAATAAAGTTTTCTTTTTAAGATGGTTAAAGTTATCTTTGAAAATATTGTGCGGAAACAGAATGGCAGGGAGCGGTGCTAGTCAGCATAACCTGAGAAAAGCAATTGGAGTGTTAAAGGACACAACAACGGTTGGATTTGTAAAAGTGAACAGCGATTACAAGGTTAATTTTATATTCTAAGCACATATGATTGTTATTTTAATGGATGATGGTTATATTGTCATTCTCTCTGTTCTTGTTTTTTATAATCTTTATTCCTTGATGAATAGCATTGATCTGCAAATCTTGATTAATGACTTTGATCTATGACTATCATAACATTATTTCCACCAGGAACTAGATGTCGCAATTGTCAAGGCTACCAACCATGTCGAACAGTTGCCCAAGGAGAAGCATATTCGCAGTGAGTTATGTTTATGTAACTTCTATATGAACTTTACGGAAACAAGCTCCATATGGATGCTTATTAAAGCTTATTTTGCAGCTATTTTGGAGTCTGTTTCAGCTTCAAGGCCTCGAGCTGATGTGGCATATTGCATAAATTCCCTTGCAAAACGTCTAGCCAAAACGCATAATTGGGCAGTATGTTTTGATAATCATAGCTTATGATTTTTGTATGTTATTCCTTACTCTTCAATAAGCTTGAGTTGATTGTCGATGTCTGGAAGAACCGGTGAACTTCTCAATGAATTAGTTGACAAATATTGCTGGCAGTATCTTGCTTAGTTTCTTTTACATTTTGTTTCTGGGGCTTCTGATCTGATAAAATAATAAGATGCTGATTTCCTTATAGTTATTAGTCATGCATGTCATGCGAATTGATGATCAAGTATATTAGGTACTAGAATACGTACTGCATGTAAAATTGTCATACAAAATATGTGCCATTTTCTCTATTCTATTATTGAATAGCAGTACAATGTTAAGAGTGAAATTGGATATCTATCTGGAACTACCTTGAAGCTTGTTGAGATGTTTTAGCAGCTAATATGTTATCATGGAAATCTGATTTCTGAATCATAGAAATGTATGATTATCATTGTATTTTCAGAGAGTAAGAACAAATTCATTGAATGATTTTTTTTTTCAAATGTGATAATAATTGAATAAACTATTTGGTTTATTCTCAAGGACCGAGTATGCTTACATAATTCGTGTGTTTTTATTCATATTAGTTTGCTTCATGTTAGAACTCGTTTGGTTTATTCCCTTATCTTTACATGTAGTGCTGTTGATGCTGTATATTTCTGTTTTTAAAACTGAGTTGATTCATATCATCTTTTATTGAGCTTGTTAGTTTAATGCCATTAGGTTGCCCTGAAAACTTTGATGGTCATACATCGAGCATTAAGAGAAGTTGATGCTAGTTTCCGTGGAGAGCTTGTCAAGTACAGCAGGAGTGGTCACATACTGAACCTCTCCCATTTCAAGGATGATTCAAGCCCTGATGGTACGTTCTTTATATTTGAAAAGTTGGCTAAATTAAATATTGAGGTCAATTAACAATACCTTAGCTCTTAGTCAAAAGCATCATTGGTACTTTGTAAAGATTTCCACTCTCTTATACTAATTCCTAATTTGAATTGCTAAATTAATGAAAATTTTCAGTAGCTCGTCCTCTTGTCAATTTCAAGAAATGGAGGGAATAGTGTTTTAAGATTTTACCTTTTTTTTTTTTTCATTTTTTCAAGCCTGGAACTACTCTACTTGGGTACGCACTTATGCACTATATTTAGAGGAGCGGTTAGAATGTCTTTCCATGCTCAACTATGATATCGAGACAGAATGCTCTGTAAGTTGTTTTGACTTTTATTAATCTCCAATATAAAGATTTGCATGTTATTATTTATCTTCATATTATTATTATTTTGTTGGCTGGGATCCGTATGATGTTCAGAATATTTAGATGTTTAGTCAGTAATTACCAGTTACTGAATTTTCACTATTATTTTAGGTAGAATTGAACATAATTAACAATGTTTCTTGAGGCAATATATTTACAGAGCGCATTTTCAATTTCTATGAGGACAATGATGTGCTGGAAATTATGTATATATATATATATATATATATATATATAAAGAGAGAGAGAGAGAGAGGCTCCGGTCCTAGCTATAGGATTTGAGCCCATTCCTATCTAATATCCAGTTATTCATCAAACTTCTATCGTGGTTCCCCTGCAATCCTAAATCCTGATTAACAACTGCTAGTGCCATTAAAAAAGTAGTATAAAGTATCAATGGAATTCTTTTTTTTCAACTTGATTAATGGAATTTATGATTTTCTTTCTCTATCTGTTAACGTCACTGCATCAATTATAAATCTCCATCAATCCTCGTGAATGTAATGTTGAAATTGAAATAAATCATTCTAGAGGTCACAACAATTAAAAGAATAAGCTTAATACAATTGCATGCTCAATTATTTGTAACATGTAGAATTCATTCAATGCAGGTCACAATTTTCTTCGTGTCAAAAAATTGCGCAAGTAAGAATCTCCTTTTACCTCAATATAAACTTAAATTGACTAATAATTATTCACTGCTACTAATACACCGAATATATATTCCCGCTAACAAAAAGAATGCCATAAGTGAAAAGATCGAGCAGATCTAAGCGCTGGATTCTCTATGCATAAGTTCTCTGTGCAATTATTGACAACCATAGTAATTACAGGGCAGGTTTCAATTGAAGAAAAGGAAGGCATCTGCACTTGAATGGAGGTTGTTCGGGCCACCTCGAACAACGTTGCACCCATAAACCGTCAATTTCAATCGTCATTGCTCTAATCGACTATGAGAGATCCTTGGCTAATTTTAATGTTTTAAGCACAACTCATGTGAAACAAGTCCGGAGTTACTTAGGAAATTAAAGATAGAGAATTAACAAAGCGTTTCCACAATAAATTTATTACTTATAGCAATGATTGATCCTTAGAATTCTTGGTTTTTAACTTGCTTAGGCAAAGAAGAGCAAAGCCGATTCCCAAACAATTCAAGAAAACACAAAGAGCAATTGTAAAACTACGACAATACACAAGAATCCATGATTTAATAATGAGAACTTTCACCTTTGGAGCCCATACGCTCAACTAGTCTAGGCTTTAGCGGAAGAAGAGTCTCCACATTAGAACCGAGGTCACTCTGAGGAAGAATGAGCCTAAGATCGTCGTTCTTGGATAGGTGGCCGGAGTGGTAGAGGATGATGGTCGTCCAATGATGATCGAACATCCCTTTGATCTTTGCTCGTCGATCACATCAACTAATGTGTAATGGATACGGTCGATGTAATCTTCAATCGTGTTATCGAAATCAAAGCCCACATCAAAGAACGGTGATTGGAGGATGTCAACTTGATCTCGCTCGTCATGTACGAATCCAAAGTTCCATTCAAATTCGGGGTCCGCCATGCATGGTGGGATCTAGTTGGGAAGACAAAAGAGGGAGGTGGGAGAGGGGGGCGTGAGCTAGGGAGAGAGTGGTCACGGGTTTGAGCTAGGGGAATTCGGTTATGGTGGGGTCAAATGGTAGAGTGCAGGAATTCTGAATCAATTTTAGAATTTGGGAGGTTTAATGGTGGGATTTAATTTGAAATTCAAATTAAATCAAGGAGGGAGGGGGCAGTAAAGAGAGGGGAATTTGGGGCTGAATTTGTGGAGCTATTAATGTGATTAGGAGAGAGAGAGGAGGCCATTAAGGGGGCCGGCCACATGAGGAGGAGAGAGGGGTGAGTTTTGGAATAAGTGGGGACCACCAATTTAATTTCAGATTTTTACAAAAATGTGAAATAAATTTTCAGTTTTCTTAAGGAGAGAAAATTTCCATTTAGGAGGGCAATCAATTTAAGCAATTTGAATTTCAAATTTGAAATTGAAAATCAATTAAATTGATGGCGTAAATTAAGGAACTACTTTAGGAAACAATTAATGGCCCATAAAACATTTAAATTTCAAATTTGAAATTCAAGGAGAGGGAAGCCGGCAGCTAGAGGAGGGAGGAAAGGGGTGGCCACGGTGTGGAAAGTGGCTGGCCGGCGGGAGGCAGTGGCCTGGAGGTCGGCGGCCTGAGCGGGCGGGAGGAGAGGCGGCGGAAGTGCTGGGTGGAAACAGGTGAGGGGATGGAGTTCAAGGAAGAATGCCATCCGGACGGATTCTCCTTGAATTCTCACACTAATTGATCACAAAGAAAATTTGGAGGAAGGTCTAGAACTCACAAAGAGATTTAGCTCTTTCCAAAACTCACTAAGATATTTGGGAGAGGGATGCACTCACAAAGAGAACACAAAGTAAATTTTTATTTCATCCAAACTTCCATTACATGGGAAAAGGGTCATATATATAGGCCACCAAATGACAAAGAAAACAAAAGACTAAAATGCCCCTTGGGCTACAATAGCGACTAAATACCCACAATGGCAAAAGCGGAAAAACATAAAAATAAAATAAAATTAACTACTACATAAAATGACAAAAATATAACTCATGATCGTGGTCGTCGATCTCCGGCATCTTCTGATGGTACATGTGTCGAAATCGCTGATGATGTCCTTATCATTCTCCCCAGGTGGGAGAAAACTCAACCCAGTTGAGTAGATATCTATGGAGCCCTTGTATAACTCTAGGAGATCTGGGTCTAGGCTCTGTAGCTCGTCCCTTTCAATCCAAGTATCCTCTATCTCCGTTGTCCCTTTCCGATGAACTAGGTGTCTTCGGCCCCCACCTTCCTATGTGGAAATGACCTCATCATCTAGCATTGCTTTGATCTTCTCCGCTATGGGTGAGTAAGGTAAATTGGGGAGTGGAGCTAGGTTGGGGATCTCACCAAGTGGGGTCACACAAGGCTGTTTTAAGGAGTGGATTTTGGGGTTAAAATTCAGGTCCTTCAAAGGCTACTAGGCCTTCTATATTAAATGTAGGATTCAAGTTAAAGCCTCAAGAGAGGTCCAGTACGTAGGCATTACTATTAACCTTTGATATTATCTTAAATGGCCCGGTGTTTCGAGCATGCAGCTTCTTTACGACACCCCGAGAAAAAGCTCTAGGCGGACCCGTACCATCACAAAGTCTCCAACTTTGAATTCTTTGGACCTTTTGTTATCTGCAATAATTTTAAAATGGGTGTTACTTTGTTTAATTTTCTTTTTAATTTCGTTGAGTAACTCCTAAAGGTGAAATGCAGATGCGCATGTAAGAGATCGGGTGTGTATGATAAATGACAAGACTCATGAGCTTACAAACTAAAGTTTTAAACATAGACAAATTAGGAAGACAACATACTACAACACACACACACAACATACTAACTCACACGAACACGTAGCTATAACAGGTGGACGAGTCACAAAAAGAGGTTGTCTAAAGTGTTTGGTCTAATGGAACGGGTGTAGGGGGAGCAATGAAGACATCCTTTGCTAAAAGGGCATCTCCATAGGGCGTCTCAACTCGGGTCACAGACAGTCTCCTAGCGACGGTAGGGTAAGTTATCAAATTCATCCAACTAGGAGAGAGAATATCCTTACTAGGGAAGGACAAGGATATCGAAGGCATAATGTAGGAATCAGGAATATGATAAGACGATGGGTCATGACTAACTACCATAGTAGGATAGCCCAAAGAGTGGCTAGCGGGTATGAGACTCAAGAAGTGGGCTAGGGTATCCCGAACAGAATTGGGCACAACAGTTAGAAATGTGACCTGAAAGTATGGGCTACGACTCTCTATAACACTAAGGTCGGTGATATAAGTCCAATCAAGAAAGGTATACTCTGTCAAATGTAAATCTAAAGGAGCAACTCCTAGAATAGACTCCAATAAGATAAGAGGATGTTTAGGGTTCAACTTAGGCTCAGAATCTGTCATATTCAAATTACTATCTTCCAAACTCACATTACTATCCTCAAAAGGAAGAGGTTTGGTTATAACCCTAAGATCAATGAATTCGGGGTCACTTAAATCAAGGTTTAATTCAGGTAGTAACTTTAATTTCCTCATTTCCAATTTGAAATTATCCCCATTGCCATCAGAATTATTCAAAATTAAATCCGAATTATTCGGAGTCATCTCAATAATTAAATCAGAATCTTCCGATTTTAATTTCAATGTGTTCATGGTTAGGTCAGTTTCTTTCAAAATCATATTACTATCGTCCACGCAATCCTTATCCAAAGAAATGTCCTCGATGAGACTAGGATCAGGGTGGGCTAAGGTGTCGTCATTCAAAGGTTCTAACTTTCCTAGCTCAGGGTTTAAATCATGCCAGGAGTCTGATTCAATCACTTCAGTTTCATCCTCAAAGAAGTCATCGTTATTGATAGTATCCATGAAATGGATGTATTCAGTCTCAGGTTCAGTAGATTTCTTCTCTTTACTGCAATTCTTTATTAAAATTACACGTGCAGGGTCGAGGATTGGGTAGGTTAAAGGTTGACTGGAACGGCTAGAATTAGGTCCAAGTGGGGAGTTGTATGGGATCGATCCAACAGAATACCCCATAGAGGGTCGGCCATCAAGGCTAGGGGAAAACCTACTGGGTGGGGCAGCAACCCTGGTGTTTCTAATGGGTGGGTGGTCTCGACCACAGTAGTGTCCCTGGGTTGTCCCAACAAAAGAGGTAGGGTAGTGTTCTAGATGACGGTCACTAGTAAAGGGTCGGTATTTTAAATTAAGTTCTCGTCTCATGTCTTTCCAAGTGAGGTACTCACCGCGAGACTCTTTATGGTCTTCCAATTTTATCCAAAATTGAAGAGCTCGACCTTTTAGGTGAGATTTAGCGATGCTAACTTGGTGGGATTCAG